TCCCACCCATACCCAAACCCCTCTCTATAGTCCTACATTTCCCATGGCTAAACAGCTTACCCTACACATCTTTGGACCCTATGGGCAATTTACCATGGACAATCCATCTAACCTGCACATCTTTGGACTGTGGGAGGAAACCAGAGCAAATCTGCGCAGATTTGCAAACTCCACACAGACAGAAGTTGGAATTGAACCCAGGTCCCTGGTGCTGTGAGGCAGCAGTGCTAACCACTGTGCCACCATGCTGCCTATTGTTCAGGTTTCAAATAACCAATATTTAATGCTAATGTGAAGGTCCAAATGTGTGCCAAGTTGCAGAGAGTGAAATGCCTTTTGTTTTTCCCTAAATTCTACTGGACCACATGCTCTGCATGTTAAGGTCTGACAAGACAGGACCAAGGAGTTTCATCTGACATTCCACAATCAGAACATCTGGAATTGATTATTAATTTCTCCTTTTCATCCCATTTTTTTCCCTCTTCATCCTTCTCTTTTAAATGTGTGGGCATTACTTCACCCAAATGATCATTTATGAATAAAAAGTGAGTACTGACAAATATCACAGCTAAATCCAATTTTGTCCTGACCAGTTATCCCAAATATGCCAGTTTTCATTGGACACCTCTCCCTGATATTAAAACAAATTAGAGTTCTTTGGTGATTGTCCAGATGAGACATTAAACCTGGGCCTTTCCTAGTCTGCATAGCTCTTCAGGAAAGCTTCTCAGCTCTGAACTGAGCATCAATATTCCAAATAAAAAACAAACTGAACTACAGCTGTTGCACCCAGAAGTAGTTAATTGTAGACAAAAATTAAAATCCATTCATGGGACTCCAACATTAAATTTGGGAGCTTTATTATAGGATTTGCAGCCATCTGAGTGAGAAAGAAAAGGGCAGGAAACAACAGAGACAAAAAAATACAAGGAGAGTCAACTCCCAAAAAGATTCTCATTGACAATGAATAGAAATTTATTTTGGATTGAGTTAAAGCAGCAGTAATACAACAATTTGAATGTCAAATAATTCGACAACAGTTCCTAAAACAGGGAACATTGTTCAAAGATTCCTTTTCTACAAAATTACTTAAGAAATTTACACAATATGGAAAAAGAAAGTACTAACTCTAACAATATGCAGTAATTAGAATCATTCAGACTATTTCCAAAACTTTGTTAGATTTTGATGCTAACGTAGATGTACTGGACAGTTCAGTCTTTCAGAATTAATTGCTTTTCATTCCTGGTTAACTAGTTCTCTCGTTATAATATATTGGGTTTTAGTTTGGTCTCTAATTATAAAATGGGGCAACTTGTTTTATATTTCCACTTCACTTAACTGACACCAGCCACAGAAGAGATGTATTCAGTAAACTTTTAATGGCTCTTTGCAAATGCTCTTATGCAATTTTGACAACAAAGGAACAATGAAGCAGGTTTACGAACCGCAGCATTGGATGTCAACATCATGTCTGGTCAGACATCTCCATTCTGTTAAAGCGGGGATATGTAGACAGTAAACCAACTTCAAAAATTAGTGACCCCACTGCAGAGCTCCCATGTTGAGTGTCTGTATTGGGAATGTGGGTAAAAGGCAGCAACTGCTGCATCACATTCTACCCAATTCTTCATTTTGTTTCATGGACTGTTTTCTCAAGCAATTTGTGTTATTTATCTTTTCCCACCGCTTAACTGGAATGATGCAATTTATTTTAATTTATTTTTGTATATCTGTGTATTGAAATATAAGTCACAATGGCCAATAAGTTATTTCATTGTACACTGACAGTAACTGTCCAATTTTCATTAAATTGTATTGTTAAAGATTGCATTTGTGCATTTTTATCAACAATCTCTAAATGTTTTAGTGTCAATATTAAATATAATTATCGACTTGTTTATGCTTGACCATGAAAATGAAATAGCTAGAAACAGATAAACAAAATACAGCAAACAAAATGTACCTTGGCTTTGTGGACCAGATAGCCAGGGTTGTTGGATAAAGGAATGTTGTGCCACCAGTGATGACTGAGGCAGAGGGCACCACATACTTTATGGGAAACTGAATGAATATGAAGCATAGGAAGATATAGGGCCATAGGGAGAAAAAGGGAGCAGTGGGATTAGATTTGGGTTGTTCTAAAAAAAAATCCAGGACAGAATTCACAAGTTAAATGATTTTTTTTGGGTTGTGGATATATAAAACCCAATGAATGGATATGTATTATTATCAGCTATTGTTTGGATAGTCTCATGTCGAAGCATGTACTGAAAAATTGGCAGGGCATGTGTGGTGAATGCTGAATGCTCTGGAGATATTTTTTCAAGCACTCTGTTAACATTTGGACATGTGTGAATGGCTGATTTACAACAATCTCCTGCAAACATGATCTTTAACGTCTCCTTTGAGTTCATTAACTTACCTTGTCTTAAGATTTTAGGTCAATGTCCACAAAGCATATTATGTCCCCCAACCATGCTCACCTTCTGTCATTCACCCCCTCCTTCATTCCCTCTTTTGCCTTGAACCCCTGTGTTCACCTCCCTTCTCATCCACTGAGAGTATTCAACCCCTTCTCTTACTCTGACAGTGTTCATTCCACCTCACTTCACAAAAAGATTTAACACCCCTTCACCTCCAATAATTCTGACTCTTCCAATACCAGGCATTGTAGAAGTTGTGTCAGGAGGAGATAAGCACTGTCTGACGTGGTGGAGGGGAAGGAATGAGTATTGTCCATTTGTTTGTTATGCAGGGGCTGGAGATTGAGCACTACCTGGGGAAGCAAAAGAGAACATTGTCTAGACAGAGACTGAACATTACTGTGACTGCTGGAGGGCTTTGACAATCCATCTGATTTACTTATGTTGCATTCCTGAACAGGCTTTACACCAGCTATGAAAGTATTTAATTTTTTTCACAAAAAAACAAGTTCAGGAAAGGGCAAACAGCCCAGGTCTGCATGCTCCTCGTGATCTGACTGCACTATTGGGTGAGAAATGGATGTGCTTGAATTCCTAAGCCAAGTGTTGGTGATCAATTCAAATATGGCTGGAAGGGGAAACATCAACCCAAATTTCACTGATGTATTTTTCCACCAGAAGTTACTGGACAATAAGTAGGAATGGGAATGAAGGTCACTATTTTACTGCTCCCTAGTCCAGGTGAGCTAAGGCTTTGTATCAACTTTATTACAACTTCAGACCAACAACCTCTGGTCCATGAGGTTCAATGTCGTATATCTTTATCAAATGAGCCATTAACCATCTCATTAATGATACCTACCTTGAACTGTTACAGTGGATTAACTATTCAACTTGCAACTGGGTTAAGCACCTATTTATAAATGCACTCATGATCAACAGACTGAGTTTATATAATTTGTCTTTATTACTTAGAATCTACAATTGCTCAGAGTGGAGGAGTTTGATCTCTTAAGGTTTTCCTTTCTGCCTAATATGGGACCACTTTAGCTGAAAGGAAATTTTCCTTAAAAGAAGCAACCTGTAGAAAAAATAGGTAGGTATTTTTTGTATGAGTGCATACATTTGATAGATTTCACTAGTGACAGAAATGATAGATTCGCTCATATTTGAGCATGGTACTGAGGAAGGCGCAGTGTTGGAGGTGCCACTTCGTGAATGAGTTATTAAACCAAAGTTCCATCTATCCGTGAGGATTTGTTTCACTGTTTGGACAAAATCATTGACTTAGCCTAGGTGCCCTAAACAAAATTTCTCACACCAACCTAGCTCACCAAAGCTCACTGTTTTTTCATAAAACTTTTCTGTTGCTCTGGGACTATTATGTATCTAAATTAGCTGCCATGTTTATCCCCTACATAACAGTAGCTGTACTTGAAGAATTATTAACAGACCAACATGCTCTCAGATGACCCGAGTTTCTAAAAGACTTAAACCAGTAGGAATTTTGACCTCCCTTATAACATGAATATTGGAATACTTGGCATAACACAGCATGATGTAGGTCCAGCCACTTAGCATCATTGTTGATGGTAATGGAAGGGGTCTACTCTATCTGGCTTTATGGTCGGTGGACTGAAAAGGTACAACGTACATTGGTCTAGGTGATCATTCCAGTAATCCCTGTTGGCAGTGTCTACTTGAATGTCCAGATAGAGTAAATGGGTGAAGAATGGCACTCGGATGATATTGTGCATGCCTGTATTCCTTGTGATTGTAGGGGAAAAGGTGTAAATGAGAGAAACTGGAGAATATAAAAAAAAATGTAGAGCAAGAATAAAGAGGAAAATAACTAATAGGAAACCTTATCTCAAAACTTAATTTCACTTTAGCCCAGAGCTTGGAGGGTTGAGTCTCAGTGACCCACATCATTGAATTTCTGTTGGGAACCACCTTTTGTTAGTTGGTCTTTCGGGTGATATTTCTTTACGGGATTAGGAAAAGACTGGAGATGAAGTTGTCATGCCCTTCGTGATTATAGCTCTATCAGTTGATCATGAACACTGATACAACGCTTGGAAGGCTGTCCAAACTGACATAATCTTGGTTAAACAGTTGAAGTTTGGGCATGGCAGATGGTAGTTGGAAAATAGGTGAAGAAAATTAAGAAGAGTACCTCAACATTAACTAGATAGCTGCCTGCTTTCAAATGCACTGAACAGATTTCCTTATAACTATGTGCAAAGGGTATAATGTGTCTTACATGTATCTAGAACCTGTTGCTCTCAGAATGCATTTTTATTTGTTTCGATGGCTTTCCTTACGAATGGTGGAAAATCAGGAGTTTGACCATTGTTGCATGTCTAACCAGCAGGAAAAGCTGCACTCACACCACTGCTTGCAGTTAGGTCATTACTTATAGCTTCACCAAATCAACAATCATCTGCCGTACAAAGGAAGGAAACAACTTATACAAAATAAAAGTGGCAACAGTCCCAGTTTTTGCATTGTGATGAAGTTCCCTTTTTAAAACATTATTTCTGTTGTCTCTTGTATTAAAGTTGTATAAACAAATTACATTGTTGATCCATTGGGGAGTGGGATTTTGAATCCTAATTTAATCAATACAAGGCAGACACAGAATCCTCCACTTCCTATGGCCACTACTCCCAGGACTGCTTTAATAAAAGATCTCCTTGAGCGATAGAAGTCACTTGGAGCCAGGATGCTGAGCAGAGCTGTGTTGACTGTCAAGGTGTAGAATATAGAGATGCCTGTGTTCAGGGCAACAATCTTCCCAAACTTCGCAAAAGGAGCGATGATGCAAAAGAAGAGGGGGATAGTCGCTATGACTGTAGTGATGCCACTGGACACAATGGCAACACCAACATGCCTCACAGCAGCTACAGTTCTCCATTTCCCCATTTTGTATTTATCCTATTAATCAAATAAGGCAGTGTGTTAGCAAATGTGTTCATCTATCCAATGAAAATAAGACAAAAACTACAACTACAGATGTCTTTTAGAATTGAAGTACACATACACATTTACTGGGAAAATATGCCCTTTTTTAATGTTACAATCCTTGTCATTTTGAAGCAAGTTATGATTTATTTTCTCCAAAAACCAACAACTTCTTCAATTCCCCCTTCTTTGCATCCTCCACTCTTACTTCCAACTGTGAGGTGCCCAAAAGACCGTATTATGTAGGAAAAGTGGGCCATTCTGCCCATTGGGTCTGTTCTGCCATTCAATGAGATTATGGTCGATTTGATAATCCTCCACTCCACTTTCTTGCCTTGTCCCCATAATCCTTTGATTCCCTTACTGATTAAAAATCTGTATATCTCAGTCATGAATGTATTTGACAACTCAGCCTCTTCAGCCCTCTGTGATAAAGAATTCCACAGATTTCCTACTCTGAGAGGAAATTCTCTTCATCTCTGTCCTAACAGGATGACCTCTTACTCTGAGATAATGCCCTCTTGTCCTAAACTGTCCCATAAGGAGAAACAACTTCATCACATCTACCCTGTCAAGACTCCTAAGAATCTCACTTGTTTCAAAAAGATCACCTCTCATTCTTCCAAATACTGATGAGAATGGGCCCAACCTACTCAACATGAGATAAACCCTTCAAACTTTGGATCAACGTAGTGAACCTAAACTGTACTGTTTCCAATGCTATTATATCTTTCCTTAGATAAGGAGACCAAAACTGCTCACGGTGACCTACTGGTGGTCTTACAGTGGTCTTACTAGAGTCTTGTATAATTTTAGCAAGACTTCCTTTTTTTATACTTCATTCCCTTTGAAATGAAGGCCAACATTCCATTTGCCTTCCCTCCTACCTGAACTTGAATGCTTACTTTTTATGAAGGTAATAATTGAGACGATTTTTCCCAGCTGCTTCTTTTTCATGTCAGCCTTTCTCTAGATGTCAAATATGGCACAGCACGAGCCCTGAACTGTCATTTGCTTGTAATCTTTCCAGTCATGTCTCAAGCCTCAAGTTCATCTTGTCCATGACATCCATCCCCTGCTGTCTCAATCATGTTCCTCACAAACTGCAAACCACCTAACTTCCCTCCCTGGTACTTACATTTGTTAAATATTGTTAATGATTCCTTTTCCTCAGGTAATGACTCCCTGTACCTTTCAAATTTCCCATTATTATCCTTGCCTCAAAAAAGCAATTCAAGCCTCTGTTCTTGCCACTCAAGTTCCCTTTCCTCTCCAAAATTATTGAACACATTGTCACCAACAGAATCCATACCATTATTCTTAGTGTTCCACATTTGAAACCCTCTCAACAAAGACAACATACATTTATATAGTGCCTTCAAAGTAGTAAAATTCACAAAACACTTTGAATAAAAAAGCACACAACTACATGAAGATATGTTGAATAAAATTTTGATGAAAGAGGTAGTTTTCAAGAGAGTACTTTAAAAACAGAGCGAAGCAAAGAGGTGCCAAATTCAATGGCAATAACTCCAACATTTAGGGCCAAGGCAGCTTGAAAGATCGCTTCCAAAGGCGAAGTGATTAAATTTGGGAATACGTAAGAGGCCAGAATAGGTTGATCCTGAAGGCCTGAAGCAAAATACCATATGCCCCTAAACAAAGCTGCAGATGACATTGTCTGTGACTCTAATCAACGTCTTGTCCTATCTACAGCATCTGACACCTTAATCTACACTATTTACTTCATTTAGAGACAGAGTCATACAGTTCGAAAACAGACTCTTCAGTCCAACTCGTTCACGCTGACCAGATATCCCAACCTGACCTAGACCCACTTGCCAGCATTTGGCCCATATCCCTCTAAACCCTTTCTATTCATATATCCTTCCAGGTGCCTTTTAAATGTTGTCATTGTACCAGCCTCTACCATTTCCTCCAGCAGCTCGCTCCATACACACACCACCCTCTGCATGATAAAGTTACCCCTCAGGTCCTTTTTCCCTCTCACCTTAAAACTATGCACTCTAGTTTTGGACTCCCCCACCTGAGGGAAAGAGACCTTAGCTATTCATCCTATCCATGGCCCTTGTGATTTTATAAACCTTTAAGGTCACTCCTCAATCTCTGATGCTCGAGGGGAAAAAAAGCCTGATCAGCCTGTCCATATAGGTCAAACCCTCCAGTACCAGCAACATCCTTGTAAATCTTTTCTACACCCTCTCGCCAGCGACTGGTTCCCTTGTGTTTATTGATTCCCAGGCTAGGTACCTCTAGCCTTATGACCATTTAAATACTCAGGGTCTTCCAACCTTAGCACCCTGCATCCTGCACTCATTTTCCCCACTATTAGTGAACATGTCAATAAGAGATTAAAAATGCTGAATTCCCTTCCTAAGTATCTTTTTCTTTTTTTCTACTTCTCTGTTAAGACCTTGCATAAAACCTACCCCTTTTGACAATCTTTTAAACATTCTAATTATCGCCTTCTTTGCCTCAGCTTCAACTTTTCCTAAGAGGTGTTTTGGGATGTTTTCCTGAATTAAAGGCACTGTGTGGAAAGCAACCTGTTGTTTAGTCATTGTGTAAAAATGATATAAAAATCTGAATCAAATCAAAAATTACTTTTTGGTTTCTTCATTGTTTAATGTAATATAGAGGTGAATAACAGGGGTGAACATCAATAAGCTTTGCATGATCAGGAAGGAGGAATCACATCTGGGGTGAGACACAGCCAGGTGAGTGTATATATCTGGGATTTTGTAGCAGTGTGGGAATAGAACAGGTAAATCTTTCTTTCCTTTCTCTTTTCTAAAAATTTAAAGTTCAGTAGTATAGTTAAAATGTTAATAAGGTAACTCAGCTGATTGAGAGACAGTTATCAGTCAATCACATGAAGCCAGAATAGGGCCTCAATTGGTGTTGATTAGTGTGAGTCATCTCAGCTCACTTCATTTCTATTTAAGAGAGAGTTGGTAAAAGCATGCAATCAGTAAGCTTTGCATGTTTGGTAAGGAGAAATCATATTGGGAGTGAGACACAGCCATATAAGTGTATTTTTCTGAGATTTTACAACAGTGCGGAATTCTGTGCAAGGGAAGAGATGCTTTGTGCTTGCTTTTTTGGCTTATAGTTTGTAAGGTCTTTTAACCGGATATATTGAAGTCCAGGATCAGGGGCCTGCCACATAACAAAAAGTGACATCACAGGAAACTGTACTTTCACTGGTTGGTAATAGCTGCTGATTTGACTATCTATTATAAATAGCTTTCAGATTAAAGGTAAATGGAAGAAATGTTTTACAGAATAAAAACTAACAGATCAGTTGGAAATTTAAAAAAAAATTAAGAACTACGTAAATAAATGGAGATGCAGGGTTGGATGATACATTGTACCTGCATGATATGGCAACTGGTGGACACCATTGTGGTTCTTAGTGACCACATCAGTAGCAGGTGTTGGTTGCTTGAGGAACTCCAGCTCAGAGTTGAATAGCTGGAGTCCAATCATCAAATCCTGCAGCATATTAGGGAGGGGAGAGTTACCTGAACATTTTGTTTCAGGAGGTGATTACCTTGAATTCAATCAGTGGTCAGGGACTAGTGTGAGGCATGTAGGAGGATCCAGAAGGTAGTGCTGAAGGACTCTCAGCCCTTGAGTTTATCTAACAGATTTGAGATTCTTGCTCCCTGTGTGGACAAAAGTGGAGGCTGTTAGGAGAATGAGCAAACTGACCATAGTGCCATGGTACAGGTAGCCATTCAAGAGAGGGGTGAAAAGTGAAATATAGTTGTATGTAATATAACAAAGAACTGCAAATGCTGGAAATCTGGAAACAAAAACAGAAATTGCTGGAAAAACTCAGCTCTCTGGCAGCATCTGTGGAGAGAAAGCAAAGTTAATATTTTGGGTCCAGTGACCCTTCTTCATAACTCTTCTTCAGAAATGTAGTTGTAATCAGAGATAGCATAGTCAGGGGAATAGACATTATTCTCTTTGGCCAGGATTGAGAATTCTGAAGGCAATATTGCCTGCCTGGTGCCCGGGTTCATGATAACTCAGCTGGGTTACACAGGGACTTGAAATTGGAGAGGAATAGCCAGTTGTTGAGATTCAACGCAGGTATCAATGATATAAGTAGAAAGGTAAAAGAGGTTCTGCTAAGGGAATATGAGCTACTAGGGGCTAAATTGTAAAGCAAAATCAAAAAGGTAATAATCTCTGGATCACTACCTGAACCACGACCTAATTTGCACAAGGTCAACAAGATCAAAGAGGTAAATGTGTGGCTCAAAAATTGATGTGGAAGAAATAGGTTTGAATTCATGGGTCATTGGTACCAGTGCTGGGGAACGAGGGAGCTGTTCCAACACCTCGGGATCCACTTGAATCAAGCTGGGGCCAGAGTCCTGGTGAATCACAAAGCTAGGACTGTAGACAGGGCTTTAAACTAAATAGTGGGGAGGCGGGAGGGTTCAAACATCGGATTGCAAGTTAGTGATGGGCTGATTGTTACCAGAAAATTAAAGAAAGGGACAGGATGTGTGAATGTCACATTGCACAAAGAAAACAGAACTGTAGGGAAATTTGATAATAGAACAAACTTTGCACAAAGCATTTGGAATAAGGTAGATGAATGATAGTGCGAACTGAGGCAAATGAATATGATCTTAAAGCCATGTGGAAACATGATAACAAGGAAATCAAAACTGGGAGCTTAACATTCATGGATATTTCACCTTTTGGAAAAAAATAGGATGGATGGAAAAGTAGGAGAGATGGAAAAGAGGGTACAACTATTAATAAGAGATGAAATGAGGATAGCTGTGAGAGATGTTCAGGCTTGGATGACATCGAGTCTAATTCAGCAGAGATAAAAAAAAAGGGAAAGAAGACATTGGTAGGAGACCTGTACAGACCCCCAAATTGTAGCCACTCCCTAACAAAGGCTACAAATCGACAAATATTAGGAG